CACCTGTGATCCCAACACTGGGAAGGCTGAGGCAGAAGGATCACTGCTAGTTCAAGTCCAGCCTAGGGTCATAATGTGTTCAAGATACTTTAAAAAAAAAAAAAGATGACTCATGGCATGCCTAGGTCTCACTCCACCCTACCTCATGCCCCTGGGACTCTGGTGTTACCTGCCTCCTGTCCCTGGCTGCACAACTCACAGTCACAGAGGGGAAACCAGCAAGTCCTGTGACCCCATCAAGGAGGGAAAGGTGCAACGGAGTCCTAACCACATTCACAAGCCCCAGCCCAGCAGGATGGCTGCTGGCCAGTCAACCTCCCTGTCCAGTCCCCAGGTCCTAGGGTGCTCCCTGCAGCTGCAGCCCGACGCAAAGGGTTAACACGAAGCTCCTGGAGTCCTGGCCACAGAAGGCCCATTCTTCTCTGCTTGTCCCTCCCTCTGTCCAGGAAGACCCGGGGGAGCCCCTTCAAAGGGGCCCAGCCCTGGGCCGCAGCCGGTTGGCGGGACACCAACACAGGAAGCGGAAGCCGGCGGCGCTCGGGCAGCACAGCTGGGTCCCTGCGGGGCTGGGGGTTTCCAGGGGCTCTCCCAGCGGTTCCCATCTGGAAGCCAGAAGGCTTTGATCTCGGGCTTTCTGCTCCCACTCTGCTCTGCCTCCTCCCTCTCCACTAGGCGAGCCTCCCAGAGTCAGGATGTCACATTCGCCTGTCCTGCATGTCCTCGGTCCCTGCTGTCAGCTGTTCCCGATTAGCACGCCTGGGCGGGGTGGCCTGGACTGGGTGGACTCGGGACAAAGGGAGAGTAGCGGCTCCCGGAGCCCGGGGCGGGCCGGCAGGGCCAGCAGCTGGCTGCCAGATGTGGGGGGCCTGACAGCGGCCAGTACGCCTGGCCCGGAGCCAGCCCGTCACCTCAGTGTGGGACGCTGGGGGCGGGGACAGGGAAAGCTGAGACCCCTGAGCCAACAGCGTGTACGCAGGGTAACAGGGGTCAGTGGGGCCCGGTGGGAAGGCGTGCCGAGGGGCTGGGGCCTGGCAGGATGTCTGCTGGGAGAGGGGCTCAGCACAGGGCCAGTCTCAGCTCCCTTGACAAACTGGGGACACACCGCTCCCCTTGACCGGAGTCGGATGCGGTTCGAGTAGCTCCCAGACCCAGGGGAGCCGCGGAGCCCGGGACTCCCGCAGCCTGGCTCTGGTCCCCTTTAAAGCCATTCACCGAATTCCGCCCCGCCCCTGCTCCAAGGACCCTCCCCCTTGTGCTGCGAATTCTCGGAAGTGACTGGGGCGGGACGAAGAAGAGCGAGGCGGGGCTAGATTTACATACCCGGGCCAGGCGCGAGGGACACCCCGGACACCCACAGCCCCGCCCCGCGCTCTGGCCAGTTCCTCAACCCCAGCTCGGCCCCGATTCTCACTCGCAGAACAAGTCCCCGCCCCGCCCCGCCCCACCCCGCTGCTTCTAGGCCAGGGCCTGCCAGGCCGGGCGTGAGCTTCTGCCGGTGGACCTCGCTTGGGTCCCGGAACCGGGTCAACAGGTCTGGTGAACAGGTGGTGCAGGTACAGCAGGTCAGGAGAGGGAGGGTGGGCGGCAACCTCAGCATGGGGAAGGGATTAGCTCTGTCCATCTGGCCCCTACCTACTCTCTTCCAGAGTGGGGTTTCTGGGCCTCAGTTTCCCCTTTGTTAAAGTGGCTTAGACAATCACAGATCTCAAAGGAAGCCTGCACACGCACAGGAAGGCATCCTCGTGAAGCCCCTGCCAGAACCCCCTGCAGTCCTGCAGTCCTGCAGGCCGCGGGCTCATGGTCAAAAACAGTTCCTGACCTGACTGTTGATAAAAACGAAGGGGCCTTCGACCAAGTGAGGGTGCAGACGAGACCTTTTCCCAGCGGTCTCATTCTTAGACTGAGTTCACTCAGCGAGCAGGAAGGGACAGAGTCTGGGAACAGGAGGGCGTGGCTGGGAAGATTAAGAAAGTGTGGGAATGAAAAGCAGGTCAGTGTGACCACAGAGTGACTGAGATCAGGACAGAGGGGCTTCGTCCTGACAGCTGGGTCGAGTTCAATTCTAGGATCTGGGGGCAGGGGGTGGAAACCCAGGGCCTCTGGCATGCAGCCACATCTCTCTGAGCTACATCTCAGCCCTGTATTCAGTTATCTAAGTGACTTGGAATAATCTCTAGGAATCTATCCCTTTCAATTTGCAAGTCTTTCTCAATCTAAAGAGATTGTAATCCAGGCACTCCAGAGGCTGAGGCAGGAGAATCTCCATGAGTTTAAAACCAGCCTAGGCTACATAGTGAGACCACATCTCAAAAATCAAAAAAAAAGTTTTCCCTTGGAAATAATGAGTCTTTAAAACTTGCTAATCTTTCTTGGAACAAAGAATGTTGCCTGGAACCTTACTGCTACTGTTTCAGCAGGATTTTATGGCATTATTTTGTTTTCACTGTAACTGTTATCTTTTAAGTATGATGAGTGATTTCACAAGTGGGTTAGAACAGGTGTAGGGGCCCATGCCAACTCCTGAATGGCTGAGGCAGGAGGATTGCAAGTTTGGGGCCAGCCTGGGCAACTTGGGGACACCTTTTGTCAAAATAAAAAATAAAAAGGGCTGGGGATGGAGCTTAATGATGAAGTACCCCTAGGTTGGACCTCCAGTACCTATGTAAAAATAAAATATGTGGGCTGGGGATTTAGCTCACTGGTTCCGGCACCTGCCTCGAAAGCACAAGGTCCCTAGTGCAATCCCCGGTACCAAAAAAAAAAACCACAACACACACAAAAATAAAATATGCCAGATACCTTGCTAAACACTTGACATGCTTCATCTGACTCTCTCTTTAGTGCTGGGGATGGACCGGGGATTGAACAACACAGGTCCATCACATTGAACTACTGTTTTGGTTTTCTTTTGTGGGTTTTTTTGGTACTGGGGATCAAACTCAGGACCTTGGGCTTTTGAGGCAGGCACCAGAACCACTGAGCTAAATCCCCAGCCCACTATTTTTTATTGAGACAGTTTCCCTAAAATGCCAAGTTGCCATCCTCAAACTTGGGATCTTCCTGCCTCACTCTCCTAGAGTGCTGGGATTCCAGAAGAACATCTTTTGGAGGATGCTGCTGCAGGCAGGGAGTTTCCTGCCTAATTTGCTGGTCCCAGGCTAGGTGACATTTGTAGTTTTCACAGCTAGTGTCCTATTGATTACATTCCACATAGCCTGTATCAAGGCATCTCCAGACCTAGCTAAAGTCATTAGTTGTGACAAGTTTGTATTTATCCCTGGGGATGGCGGCCCACATCAGTAATCCCAGCACTTGGGAGGCTGAGGCAGGAGGATCTCCATGAGTTCAAGGCCAGCCTGGGCTACATAGTGAGTTCAAGGCAAACCTCAACTACCTAGCAGGAACATGTCTCAAAAAATAGTAATAATAAAGTCTGTATTTATTTATGCAGTGCTGGGGAGGGAACCCGGGCTTGGTACACTAGGCAAGTGCCCTATCCTGATACACTCTCGGCCGTACAAGTTTTCACTTTTCCCTCTTCTGATGGGTGAGGGGCTCCAGGTCGGAGGACTTGAGTGAACAGTGCTTGCTGCAGTTCCTTCTCTGGTCTCCACCTCCCTAGCCTGGCACCGGAAACCCCCAGGCTGTGTTGGGGCGGGGGTCAAGCGCGGCTTCCCGCGGAAGGAAGGGCCAGGCGGTTCCTTTGACAGGACGCGCGCCGGCCCCTCCCAGGGACTTCCCGGGCCCTCGGGGCGTGGACACCGCACCCCTACGTCCCCTTGGGGCGTTGCGGGTAGCGCTGAGTCCCCACACTTTCCCGGAAGAAATCGGAGGCGGTGGATGCCGGGAGCGGGGCTTGAAGTCCCCGAGGACTGCCCTTCCCCACGCCTCGGGTCAGGTCCCCCAGGTTAACGAGCCCGCGGGGGCCCTGCCACCCTTCACCGGCAGGCCTCACAGTCCCCGCGCCGCCCACCGCCCCCCTTGCGCACCTGCGGCTCCTTTGTCCTCGCCACCACCCCTCCCCTGCCCCAGGCAGCGTCTGCAACCGGCCCGAACCAGCTAGGAAGGAACTTGTTTTCTCCTCTTCCGGAGGCTGCTGGAGCTGAGAAGGGGCCCAGCAAGTCCGAAGGGGCGAGGACCTTTTTTTTTTTTTAATTGATGATTGAACCCAGGGCCTTTGCACTGATCCCCAGCATTTGTTTTCTTTATTTTGAGGCAGGGTCTCCTCGACAAGTTGCCCAGTCTGGGTTGAACTTCGGACTCTCCTGGCTCAGCCTTCTAGAGTGCTAGGATGACAGGCGAGTGCCAACGGCGCCCGGCTGGCAAGGTCATTTCTGAATCTAAAGTGTGACGAGGGCGGTGTTTAGAGGCCCATTTCCAAGGTAGAGAATCTAAAGCTAGAAACTCACCTCACCTGAGCCACACAGCTGCACTGCATCCCTGTACTCGGGAAGCTGAGGCAAAAGGCCACCCCCTGCTACACAGTGAGCTCAAGGCCAGCCTGAACTACATAGTTTTTGGTTAAAACAAAGCAAAAAAGAAATTACAGTCCAAAATTCCCGCAGCTCCCTTCACCCCAGGTAAGGAGGGGCTGAACCTGAAGTTTCTCTGCGGGTATTGAGGATTGGACCTTTGCACTGAGCTACATCCCCCGCGCCAGGAACACTGGCACTTCTCAGGCTCCAAGTACTGTTTCTCACTCCGCCTGGGGCGCTTAACTCGGAAATATTCCCCTATTGTCTGAAATGAGGAAGCACTCTCCCCTGAAGTCGTAGTGGAATTAAGGCAACCTCCAACCTAAAGTGGGGACAGTCACCCAGGAGGAGGAGTGGATTGCCGCCAGCACCGACGCCGGGGGGGGGGGGTGGGGGGTGGGGGAGGCAAGGGGCCCGGGGGTCCAGCCGGTAACCCATCAGACCAGTTCCTGGGGCCCACCCGCCAGCGGCAGACCCCCTGACCCCGCCTCTCCCCCCGCGGAAAAAGAACCAGACAGACCACAATTTCAACTGCAAGTTTTTATTGTCCTGGCTGACTTTTCCAACGACAGCCAAGTAGACGGCAAGGTAAACAGGCTTCCACCGTCCAACTGAGAATCCCTCCATCCCGGCCCACCAAGGGCGCCCCCTCGCCATCTCCGAGGTCCATCTGTGCTGCGTGTCCGTGGGAGGTCACGCTCTGGGCAGGGAACCACGCGCCACCTCTTAACACAACCAGATGAGGAAATTTAAAATTAAAAAAACAATGAATCTGAAACGGGCTGGGCTCTGACTCAGGACGAACTCCTCCCACTCCCCAGGGCGGTCTACGCCCCAGAGCCTCCTCCCAGGCCCCACACCCACGCCAGGCGACAGGAAGCTCCCCTCGCCTGCCCCATGACGCAACGGTGACCGCCTCCACAAGTATGTCACCGGAGGGGCAGAGGAGCCCCTGGAATTCTGAGCCTGGAAGGGCAAACACTGGAAAGTCTTGAAAGGTCGGTCCAGCGCTTGATAAAAAAACTAAAAAAAAAAAATCAAGTCCGACCCTGAGATTGGTAGACCAAGCCTGCCCTCTCCCAGCTCAGGAGAAGCCGAGGCCCAGGTCCCAGTCTAAAAATCAGCACCTGTTGGCGCCGTGGGGCTTGCGGAAGGCACCCGCGCCCCCGGCTCGTGGGCCGCCATGGCTCGGATGGCGACGATCCCCGGCAGGGTCCCTCTGCGGCCCTCGCAGCCTGGGCGGCGGCCACATTCCTCCTAGGCTCCAGACGGCTTAAGCGCCCCGGGGAGAGCATGACCCTTCGGATTGTGCGCTTGGACCGACTCGGCGCGCGCTCTGGCTCCGGCAGCGGGCTCGGTTCTCAGAAGGCTACCACGGCACGCACGAGCACGCTCAGCACCGGGTCCGCCGGGCGACAGACCGGTTTGGCGTCGCGCGCCGGCGGCGCCGTCGGTGGCGCGGTGGGGCCGCGATTCAGGAGCCCTGAGAAGCTCCGCTGCAGGACTCGCGCCAGGTTGGGAAAGGCGCCTTCTGCCTGCGCAGGCGGGGGCAGCAGGCGATCGGGGACCTCCGACGACGCATCCTCCGCCTCCTCCTTCTCCTCTAAGCGGGCCTTCTTGCTAGGGACTAGTCCAGCGTCCACACCGTTGCTCAGGCTACTGCTGCGTCGCTTCCGGCCGACCCTGGCGGGGTGCGCGGAGCAGCGGGCCAGAGTCTCGGCGGCTCTGGGGGACGCCTCCTCCTCATCCTCCTGCGTGTCCATGGGCTCCGGCGACAGCGGCTCCCCGTCTGGGGGCACACACGCGGCGGGTACTTCCGCTTCCCGCGGCGGGTGCAGCCGCGGGTCTGGGCAGCGGGTGGGTGTCGAGGGTGTCTCGAGATCGAGGGCCTCCACCTTGGCCGAGAGGTAGAGCTCGCGGGCGCTGCGCATGACCAGCGACAGCTGCAGACTCCTGTGCAGACGCAGGCCTCCGCGCTGCATGCGCGAGTGGTACATCTTCCACACCGACAGCGTCATGATACGCTGCGCCTCTTTCTGCACCTCCATGGCAGCCAGACGGTGAGGGTGGCGGGGACTCTGGGCACCGCGGAGCAGGTAGCAGCAGATGCTCTACGAAAGAAGCGCCAATTCTCCCAGTGCTGACTGCTGGGACGCTCTGCCTGGGCGCCAGCCACTCGAGCCCTTTTATACCCCGGGTGACATCAGCGGCGCCCCGCCCAATCAGAGGACTGCATCGGCTTTCCACTGCACCATGGCTAGAGACTCCTTAAAGTGACAAGGCGGAATTTACCCAGCGGGGCTAAGAGACGGAAACGCCGACAGGGCGGAGGGTCCCCCTACTGCACGCTGAGCTCTCGGAGCGGTCTCCAAACTCAGCACCCTGGCTTGACGCTCGTGCGCTGGCCTGGGGACGAGAGGCCGGGGTGAGGCTCAGAGCCCACCCACGTGCTCGCGGCGGGGGAGGCGCCAGCGGGTCGAGGGCGGCAAATTTCCTTTTGCACTGGGGAAGACCCAGGTTCGAGCCCTACAGCCCCGGTGGCCACTGCTCCTACTATCCTGCAGTCGTCTAATGTTTTCGGAATCGGGAACGATGATGCCATTTACTTAAGCACTAAGTGCCAGGTTTGTTAAACTTTGGTGTGAGGTGGGTGTTGAGCCAAGCCTGGCCTGAAACTCCTGGTGAAACTCCCGCTTCACCTTCCGAGTGCGGGCGTCACCCCGTCGGCCAAGCTCGTTAAACTTTTTCCCTCCATTGATATCTCGGATCTCTCACCTTCAACTCGGAGGAAGGTAGGATTATGTCTGTTTTTAGGTGGGAAAACGAGGAAAGCCATTTAACCAGGATCTGCCAAGCGAAATGAATGGGCAGCCGTGGTTCAGGGGCCTGGACCTACCTGCAGGGACACCACCATCCCACCCCACACCCGCTCCAACGCTCGCCAGCCGCTCCCGCTCTTGGGCGGTGCGGGGGAGGCGAGCGAGGCTCAGCCCAGACGGAGCGGGCAGACCCAGTGGGAGACCCGGCCCACGAACGCGTGGCTCCTACCGGGACGCAGGGTGACGCCCCGGCCTCCACGCCCCGGGGGGCGGGGCGGGAGTGGGAGCTAGGCACTGGGCAGTGCTGGGAAAGAGCAAAGAAAACATCAGCCCCACCCTCCGCCAAGCGCTCCCAGAAAACTCAATTCCAGTTGTACACACAAAGCAAAACTGTTCAATAGCACCATTCATCCGTGGTGGTGCGGGCCCTTTAAGGGGCGCCCCCTCCCCACATTGCGCGGGGAACCTTCCCGCCACTGTAGCCTGCTGACCTTCAGTGCTAAATTTGGAAGCGGTTACGTAGGGTGAGTGAGCCGCTTCCGGCTGCCCATATAAGGTCAGGGGCCCGGATCGCCGCAGACCGCGGGGGCTGGCTTCTGGGGGCGGAGCCTGAGTCTCTGGTCACGCCCATTCCCGCCCCCCAGGCTGGGACTTCCGGGCGCGCGTCCGGCTGTGGGGGGGGGGGGCAGGGGTTTTGCTTCTGTTGGGGGAGTAGGAAGGCGCTACGTTCCCCAGGGTGAGCTCTCGTCTCGCCCAAGGTGACCCAGGGCTTCACGAACGCCGTCCCTAGAGACCTCACATAACTATCCTGGCATTCCCTTCCCCGTGGTGATCCCGGTTAATTTCCTCACCATAGCCCCTCCCAAACTATTCCTGCCACCCGCCCCCATTTTATTGATTGATTGATTGATTGCATTACTGGGGATTGGAGTCGTCTCAGTAAATTGCCCAGGCTGGGCTCTAACTTGTGATTCTTTTGCCTCAGCCTCCCACAGGCCTGGTATTGCCGGCATGCGCCACCACGCCTGGCCTCCTCATAAATCTTATCTTGCCTTTGAGCACCTTCAGGTTCCACCCCTTGTCACACGTGGGAACTCAATCCTTCCTCCTCCCTATAAGACCTCTCCAAAAGCTGTCCCCCATGCACTGATCCTTCTATATCTCGCAGCGACTTGTTGAGGGCACCCTCCTCTCGGTCTCGCTACCGGCCGCGGGCACATTTCCAGGCTAGGCGCCGGCCTAGACCACACACGGCGACGCTGACAAAGGGCAGCGCCTTGAGAACTCCCTGCGACGCCCCGCTTCTTGCCCCCAGAAACGCCTGTGTGGGTAGTTCCGCCACACAGAGGCACCCAGAAGTCTCCCTGGACCGCGGTTGCACACGCAGAGGACCCTAGAGACTCTTCGGAGCTGCCACCAAGCGACCCCCGGGTTCGCACCCGACAAGGCTGCACCCCCAGACACGCGTGTCCGGGATACCCACCTGCACACGTGCGCTGGAAGGGGACCCTCCAAACGTCTCAGGGCCCTCACGTTCCGCCCAGGCGACCTCGAAGGTCCCCTGCCCCTCTTGCAAGAAAGGAGGAGGAAGGGCGGGTCCGGGAGAACCGTGCTGAAGGCGAGCCCAGCGGGCGGGGAGGGTCCCTGGGCTGGGACTGCCTCTCAAAATACCAACCCGGGCCAACTCGGGGCGTCTTTGCAAAGATTCAGTGACTCCAAGCCGGCCACACCGGTAATCCCAACACCCTGGGAGGCTGAAACAGGAGGATTCCAAGTACAAATTCAACCTAGGCAATTTAACGACTTAGCGATGATACCCTGTCTCACGGGCTGGTAATGTACTTCAATGCGAAAGCCCTGGGTTCAATCTCCAACACAACAGAACTAATTAATTAAATAAAAGGTAAAGTCTACGGTGCTCGCTTCGGCAGCATATATACTAAAACTTGGAATGTTCTCTGTATCATGGCTAGCATGGCCCCTGCGCAAGGATGACACGCAAATTCGTGAAGCCTTCCATATTTTTCTATTTCGGTTGTAAAGGTATCAGACTGGCAGCCCCACTGCACCAAGTTCATAAACTTAATCCTTTCAGCTCTTCCTGACTTTCCCAGCCCTTTGGTTTTCCGGTGTCTGTCCCACTTAATGTTGTTGGGCCCAGCCCTCTGTCAAGGTGGGCATGTTCCAAAGTTTAAATGCATTTTTTGGACTGTTGCCCAAAATTTAGAACACGCTGTGAATATCACTTTGAACTTGTGTAAATATATGAATTTTAAAAAAAGGTTTTCTACAGCCATAACCTGAGCGAAGGAAGGCTGTTAGAGGTATTTACATTGCCTCAGAAAGGAGAAAGGTTGCGCAGGCACAGCCCGAGGGGCTGGGTCTCGAACTGACATTGCAGCCTCCAACCCAAAATCTGGACAGAATTAGCACGCTGCTCCCAGCCGAAGAGTACGCAATAGGGTGTGGCAAGTAGACCGGAAGCTGCCTCTGCCCTCAACTAACATGGCTACAGCGAGGGCGGAAGTTTCCACACTTCGGGCCTCTATGGCCTCTCTTTCTCTTGGAGGCCTCGCTCTTAGTGGTGGCATGACGGTGATGTGGCGGCGGCGCTTTCCCTGAGCTAGGCAGCTATGATCCCGCGGACGCCAGGCGAAAAGGGACTCAGCCTGTGCGGAGGGGGTAACCCTTTTCTCGAAGACCCATTTTTTGTGGTCCGAGGGTGAGTGGCAGTGCTGTGGGAGGGTGGAAAGTGGTCGCGATGCACAGTGTCTCTCGGGAATCCGCGTGGTGGCACGAGGAGCGGGGCACAAGGATGCCGCGTGAGCCTGGCGTTGGCCCTTGGCCCCCGCCCACTTGTAGTGGAAGCCAACCCGGGGAGGTTCAAGCTCCACGCTGGGCCTTGCAGGAGGAACGGGTGTTTGTGGGCCCATGCGGGAGGCTGTCTGTGTAAGGGAGCCCCGGGTGGGCTGAGTGAGCAGAGTTGGACTTAGTTTTCGAGACAGGGTTTCGCTATGTGGTTGAGGCTGGCCTTGAACTCACTATGTAGCCTAGGTTGGCCTTGAATTGGCGGGGATCGTCTGGCCTCCGCCTCCTGAGTGCTGGGATGACAAGTGTATGCCACCACGCTCCCCCCCCCCCGAGTTTGAATATCTGTACACTAATGCCTTCCTCACCCGCAAGAAATGAAGGACCACACAGTCAGCCCAGCAGCTCTAGCCTTCATGGAGAGGAGTAACAGAGGTAATCCTTCCAGACCCGCGAACACCCACACATCGCTGTGGGTGGCCCACTCGAGTGGTGGAGAGCCAGCCTGCCCCTCTTCATCCACCTGTCTTCTCTATCTGTGTGCACCTGTCCCTTCTACACCAGTTCTCATTGTCTGGATGTACTTGGCCATGGCAGTCTACCTGCCTGGTCTTTCCTCCAGTGTACACTAAGCCCTCTGGATTTCCAGGGTCCAAAGTCTTAGATTCCACCAACCAAGAATCAAAAATATTTGAAAAATGCTGTTGTAGTGGTGCACACTTGGAATCCCAGGATTTGGGAGGCTGAGGCAGGAGGATCTTGTGTCAAAGCCAGCCTGGGTATAACAACTACTTCTATGGCATGTGGCTTGTATCAGCTAATACAGTGGACCCTTGAGTTTCGACCAGTCTGACATACAAACAACTTGGGCTACAACTGAAATTTTAGTTTTAACTTATGAACAAAGTCTTGAGTTATGACCCAAATGCTGGCCACTTGTGCTTCCAGATGGTCTCAGATACAGATTTAACCCTTAAAGAGTCCTGGAAGGAATATTATAACATCCTTTCCTGTGTGGAGTTGAGAAATCCTGGGCCAGTGTCTCTCTAAAGGACACTGAGAGGGCTGGGGACACCTGCCTGGCAAGCATGAGGCCCTGGGTTCGATTTCCGGTACCAAATTAAAAAAAGAAAAAAAGCCCCTTAAAAAATAAAATAAATAAAGGACACTGAGGTCTGCCTGTATACAGGAGAATTTGAAGGCTATGTAGAAGAGTCTGAGCCTTTAATTGACCAACTTGAGTTACAACAAGCCCTTGTGAATGAATTGAGTTCATAAGTCAAGGGTCTGCTGTATAAGTGATCTAGAGATGATTAAAAAATCTGTGGCAATGTGTGTAAGTTCTCTGCAAATGCTACACCATTTTATGTAAAGGGTTTAAGCAGCATCCATGGATTTTGGTACCTGTGGGAGTCTTAGATCCAATCTCTTGAGGGTATCAAGGGACACATGTATTTCTCTTTTTAAAAATTTATTTATTTTTGAGACAGTCGCTATGTAGCCCAAGCTGGCCTCGAAATCAGCACCCTGAATTCGTGCCCTCCTGCCTTCTGCATTTGATTTTGGGAACTAAAATCAAAACTTTTTTTTTTTTTTTTTTGGTACAGGGGATCAAACTCGGGTCCTTTTGCTTGCGAGGCAGGCAGCAGAACCACTGAGCTAGATCCCCGGCCCTAAAATCAAAACTTTGAAATACAGCTGTTGACAGGCTAATATGGAACATTTCAGTAACATTTAGGCTGGGCTGGACCCAGACAGTCAAAAAAAAAAAAAAGAAAGAAAGAAAGAAAAGAAAAGAAAAACTGGGTTTGGTGACACATGCTTGTAATCCCAATACTCTGGGAAGCTGAGGCAGGAGGATCCTAAAGTTGAGCCCAGCCTGGGCAATTTAACTTAACACGACATCTCCAAATGAAAATATTAAAAAGGACTAAAGAACAAAACAAAAAAGCCAGGCACAGTGGTGCACACCTGTAATCCCAGCACTTGGGAGGCTGAGGCAGGAGGATCATGAGTCTGAGGCCAGCCTAGGCTACACAGCAAGACCTTGTCTCAAAAAGTTGGGGGGAAAAAAAAGACCAAAAACAAAAAAGGGCTTGGGATGGAGCTCAGTATGAAGATCCTGGGTTCAATCCCAAGAGAGAACAGAAAAAAGAAGAAAAACAAGGTAAAATAAATAAATGATTTTTCACTCATTTTCCTGCACCCAGTCCTGGGAAGCAAGGACTGAGTAAGGGCAGAGGGGAGCGACTCAAGCTTAACCCAGCAAGTGATGGAAAACAAATTCAAGTCTAGGCTGTCCAGCCAGTGACTGTGCCTCTCAGCATTGTGAAGTAACTTTAAAAACAGTAGGAAAAGCCAAGAGTCATTACTGTGTGTCAAGCACATATTCCCCGTGGAGCAACTCATTTAGATCCTCATTCCAACCCTAGGAAACAAGGATTAGATTTCCCAGTTCTACAAATGGGGGAACAGAGGCCCTAGGTGGTCACATAACACCACTTGGGGTCACTTTGCTAGCAAGTGGCAGACTGAGGAAGTAGTCTCAGGCACACTACTATTTTTTTTTTTGTAGGTCTTTTTGAGTTGCTATGTAGCCCAGGCTGGCCTTGAGCTCTCAGTGTTCCTCCTACATCAGCCTCCCCAGTACTGTACTGGGATTAGAGATGTAAACCACCCATCTTGCCAGCAGGCAAGCCAGTTGCCCAGGTGTCACACAGCAATCTGCTGGATGCCAGCAGATTTGCATAGGTGGCAGGGACCCCGGGCTGGGGGTGTCCATGAACCACTCAGGGTCCTTGCTTACTGCATGCCCACCCTCCACTCTGCAGCTGATCCTGGACCAGCAACCTAGATTGGTGTCAGAACACCCAGGCTCTGAAACACAAGCTGGGGAGAAGCCCAGTGTGGGCTGGATGCCTCAGAGACACTGGTGCACAGGTGCCCTGGCGATGAATGCCATCTTGGTCCTGGCACCACGCTGGCCACTTTTGCACATGACATGGAACACACCTAGTCCCCAGTGGACAGGGTCCTCAGGAAGATGGCCCAAGTGCACATTATGAGTGGCGAGTACACTTTGTGATCTCACAATGAGGTCAGCTCGGCATGGTGGGGCCCTAATCCCAGCACTTGGGAGTCTTGAGGCAGGAAGACTACTGCAATTTCAAGGCCAGCCTGAAGTACATAGTGAGACAGACTTAGGAAAAAAAAAACAACAAAAAACCAGGAATAAAGGAGTTGTTTCTCCTGTGACCTCTCACCCTTCCGTCCCCAGACAGACCTGCAACAGTGATGTGGAGTTGTGGTGCTGCTGGGCATGGCTCTCTTCCTCATTCTCGTCTTCCCTCTGACCCAGGCCCTCCCTGGTGCCCACAGGGCCATGAATGTACTTTGTACCTGGCCCTGCCCCCAAGGGTCTCATCCTGAGGTGGTGGAACCCTGGTCCTGTCCCAGGTACAAACTGACAGATGCAGGGAGACCTTGGACACATAGCACCCTGTCCCGGTCTGGGGCCCCAGAGTCATCTGCCCCTGCACCTTCTGTGTGCACCAAGTTGGAAATAAAACCCCAGCCTTATTTACACCTGTTGGCATCTTTTGGTGTGTTGACTGCAAACTTGAGGGACCCTGCTGGGATGCCTGTGGTGGTCACCAGCTGTTCCCATAAAGTATGTTAGGGAATCCAATGGCCAGTACTGCATGCGGAAGACTTTTATTTTTGGTTTTAATACTAGATAACTTGTTACCATTGAAAACTTCTCAGATTTCTTGCTCTCTTTTTTTGCCTTGAGCTTCTTAGCTTTAGCCTTCACATCATTTTTCTATGCCTAAGGAAGGTAATCCTAGACATGGACCTGAACAGCTGCTTTAAAGACATTTTGGTTTTGGTTTTTTGTGATAGGGTGTCACTACGTACTGCAGTCTGCCCTTAAACTCTATCTTGCGTCACCTACAGCGTTTTAACCTGTTCACAATAGAGGTGTAATTCTAGCTGCCTGGCAGCTCTGAACCACTGGTGGTACATACATAACTGTCCCATTGGGTGGCACAGGACAGTGATACACAGTACCACTGGTTTAGGCTGGCAGGCACATTAGTGGTACCACATTCCTGTAGTCCCAGCACTCTGGGGGCCAGAGGCAGAACTGCATTGAGTTTGAGGCCAGCCTGAACTACATTAGCAAGACCCCCATCTCAATTTGTTTTAAAAGTCAGGTGAGGTTAGAGTTGCTGGGAATGTAGCTCAGTACAAACGCACTGGGTTCATATGCAGAAACTTTTTTTTGTTTTTTTTGGTACCAGGTACCAAACTCAGGACCTTGCACTTGTGAGGCAGGCAGCAGAACCACTGAGCTAAATCTTGGCCCTATTTTATTTTTAAATAGGTGTCTTGTGCATTCCCAGAGTTTGGAATCTGAAGAAGGGGGTCTTGGAACCAATGAGTCTCCTGCAGTTAAAAGCTAGGGCCATTCTCATTTCTGTGGGGCTGCTCACGTGCTACCAAAGCAAGACACTGTTAGCAAGGGGACTCTGTCATCAGGGCCACTGGGTTTCTGTTGGTCAGAGTGGCTCTTGAAAATCCTCTCCTTGGCCTCCCCTCAAGGGCACCCGAGTGGCTGGGTGACTGAAGTGTCACCACAGACATCTCACCTTCCCACATCACGTATCGGGATGAACTCAGCTTGGGGCTTGATGCCGGCACCTTTTCCATTCCCAGTGACCTGACTGTCTAGCACCCTCCTGCTAACCATCCTTTCTATAGCGTGAGGCATGCACCTGGGTAGAGTTGCCCATGTTTAAAAAGCAGATGAAATAAAGCTTGTGATGCTGGGCTGGGAGGAGTGACTGGGCTGTGGTGGAGCTTGCTTGGCAGGCAGAAAGACCCAATCCTGCAACTCATGGTTTGTTGGCTGAGTTGGGTGCAGGGGTGGGGGGGGAGACAGGAACTGGCCAGTCAGGCAGGGGGCACCAATAGAGCCACTGTTGCCCCAAGCTTCTTGGGCAGTGGGTGCTAACATCTCCGGAGTACCCCCAAACCTCAGTGAGCAGCAGGCGTGGCAGGGCTGTTACAAAGGCGTCTGTTTATTCTCCGCATCAGCATCAGTATCAGGTTCACATTTCCTAACGCCACTCCTCTCCTTACAGTAGTTAATGTGCAATCTCACTTCGGGCCAGGGAGGGGTGGGGGGTGCGGCCCGGGGTGGGGAGGGCGTTGGCACTTCACAGGGATTGGGGGAGTGACCTGTCCCCTGAGAGGGATGTGGGCGGCCAGTGGAGTCGGGGAGAGGGCCCTAGAGTCCTTTGCTTTTCTAGGAGATGTTTTCCGTTCCTGTTCCTCTGGGCTGCCCAGGGTGGGGGGGACCATGCAGCTCAGAGGAGGGCAGGGAGGGTGGGCAGGGGACAGAGGACAGGACAGAGGCAGTTGGCTGCCTGGTGGGGCAGGAGGGGTGCAGGGGTGGCTCCCGGGTAAGGCACAACCCTGTCTTTGGCTCTCCTAGTGAGGAGTCTCCTCCCCTGCACCCCTTGCCCTCCCCCACTTCACCCAGGGAGTCAGGAACACCTCCTGGGGTCCCTAAAACCCACAGGCTCTGCCACTCACCCAGCTCTGCAGGGTGTCCTGCTAGAGAAAGGGCAGGGAGGGCCTCTTGGGACCACCTACTTCCTTCTGGGGTCTGGCTAGGGCCCCTCGGGGCCAGCTGCTCTCCAAGTGACCAGGACTTTGTGCTTTGGGATCAGCGCTGTGGTGGGTGGGGGAGGGAGGGGGAGTGCGACTAAGGTGCTTGTGCTTTAGCTGGGGGTGTCGACTCCCCCTCCCACACTGGACCACCAGGGCTAAGGTGCTGGGGTGGGCCCAGGAAGCAGGCCCGACACCCCCACCCTGCAACAAGCAGATGTCAGGAGGGAGCCCAGCAGGCTGGGCTGGGGACAGGTCTCCAACTGTGATTCCCAAGGTCCAGTCCAGCTGCCTCACTCCACCCCCAGGCCCTGCTGACCCCTTACCTTATCCCATCCCTGCCTGGGAAGAGGAAGCTGGGAGCCAGGGGCAGGAGCTTGGGGAGGGGAGGAGGCAGGGAGCACAGGGTGGAGCAAGATGTGCAATGGAGAAATGACTGGGGGGTACCCTCCATTCACACCTGTAACTCACAACAAAACCACAACCACGCAATCTGGGCAACGAAAAGGAATGGTGAGAGAAAAATTCCACAAATAACCACTAACAATGGACGTGGGCCCTGCTCTGCCCGCCCCCCAGGCTCAGCTGTCAGCCAAGGCCTAGGACACCCAAAAAAAATGACAGCCCTGGGGTAGGGAGGAGGAGGGGCTGGCTGGACCCCTGGAGCCCAGGCACCCACATTCCAACCATGCACGCATTCAGCCTGCCCACCTGTCCTGCCTTCCACGGGGCCCCTGGGACCCAGGGGGACCTCAGACACAGTCCCGTTGGTTTGAAAAATAAAAGGAAATCTTATACTTCAGTATTTCATTCGCTAAAAAAATTCTTAAAAAGTATGTACAGTGGGTGAGGGGCTGGGAGCCCTGCCGTGGGGCGGGGTGGTGATGGGGGAGGGCAACCCTCAGCCGGCTCCCCCAGTTCCAACCCTGGTCTTTCTGCCTCTTCTACCTCCATCTGTTCTGAAAGCAAACCTACACATGCACACGCGCACACCCACATGCTCTGCTGTGAGCCCAGGACCCCATCCTCCTGACCTCTGAGACCCCCATCACTCCCCAAGAGGCCCCCTCACTCAGGACCAGCCTCACTTGGACCCCAGGGGGCCCAAGGGGTGACAGAGACCAGAGCAAAGGGCCAGGAGAGGGGTATGGGCCACCTTGGCCACCTTCTGACCATCGGCTGTGGAGTTGCTCTGGGAGTCACCTGAACCTGTTCCCTAGCTGTGCAGTGGAGTCCCCCGGCCTCGCCTACCCAGCCCCCGGCACAGGGACAGACGAGGGACACAGACAGGAAGGCGCTTTGGAGATGTGGAAGCACTGGGAGGTGGTAGGTGGGTCCTGAGAGCACCTGGGCACCCCAAGTCCCCAGGGCCCCCCAGGCCGGCCCCTCCCCAAGCCGAGCCTGGGAGCTGGAATGACCAGAGGGCTATTAGGGGAACAGGGCTCCCGACTGCACACGCATCCCAGGCAGCCCGCCCTCTCCACCTGGCTCCAGTGGGGAAGGGGTGGGACAGGAGGCAGAGGGGCCGGGAGCATGCAGCGCCCCCCGCGGGTCATGGGGAGGGGTAGACAGTAGCTCGTGACCAAGATGGTGGTGGGTGTGTGATGGGAGGGGAGTGTGACAGCCCGCGGGGAGGGTCCTGTGCATTACTGGAGGACCTCTGCCGAGGGGCCGGCCTCGCCATCATGGCTGGCCGTCTCGAAGCTGTGCTCCATGCCCATCATGTCCGGCTCCATCTTGCCCGTGTCGCTGATGAAGGAGGTGTAGGCATCCCCCTCCGTCAGAGGTGGCTTGGCCTTGGGCATCCAGCTCTTGCGCACCACACGGCGGGCATTGGTGCACATGTCAGCTGCGATGGCATTCATCTCACTCTCCTTGAAGTTGGGGGCAAAGTTCTGGCAGTAGTCTGTGGGCAGAGCAGCAGCTCAGGCCAAGCCTACACCTGTGGGTTTGATGGGAGGCCCACGCTCCCAAAGAACTGGCAAATATCTGACAGAATCCAGAAACCTGGACCCTCCTCCTGTTGGGCTGGCAACATGGTGGCTGCCCCTTTGATAGGTGCTGCCTGGTCACTTCCACCCTGCCATGACAGCCCTAAGCAAGAGATCCTCATAGAGACCTGCCTCCCCTCAGCACTGTCCCCAACCATGAGCAATCTGATGACATCCCACTCCCAACAACCCCAGGTTGCACCTCAGAATCCTCCTTGGCACCAAATCCACCCATCCTTCAGGGCCAACATGGGAGGGAAAGACCTACAACCTCAGCCCTTGAGCTCTGGAAAGCCACTCACACTTGACGGCATGGAGGACCCGGCTGTCCAGTGGTTTGCGTCGGGGGTCATTGGTGGAGGACCGGATGCCAGTGCCACAGCTGTTGGCCAGTGTGTTCCTGGGGGTGATGGAATGTGGGTAGAGTCAGCACTCTTGTGGCTGAGGGTATAGGCCACCTGCCCCCACCTTGGGCCCTGGTGAGAGCCTTACCGGTCAAAGAAGGAGGCCAGAAGCCTCCGCAGCAAGACCTTATGCCGCGTGCCTGCACTGACGTGGCAGTTCATAAGCTGTGCCCTTGTGATGTACACATTGGTGCCTGGTGAGAAAGGTGGCAAAGGGTGGCCAGGGTGTCCCATGTTCCCCCGCTTCCTTCTCAGAACCCATCTATCCTTTCTGTTGGGCCTGGGGCACTCAGTGGGGCCTGATCTCCCAAGAAGCAGACCAGGAGGCCTGAAGTCAGAGAGGACAGCCAAGAGGGAGCAGAGGTGCCCAGGCCCCACTGTAGGGAAGCCCATACCCCAAGACAGCCCTGACATGCACCAAACAAAGCCATACCCCACATAAGCCCAGGTGGGGAAACAGGCTGAGGGCACCTGCAGCCCCTAACCACAGTGTGACAAGAGGCCCAAGGGTAGGAGACAAGGAACTGGGGATGGAGCGTGACCAGCATACCTGTCACCAGCTCTAACTTCTCCGAGGGGTCCCCCTCATCGTAGAGCTTGGGGTGGCAGCGGTTGCCAATCTGGTTGATGAGCTCAGCAGGAAGAGACGCCAGGTCTTGTCGCACCCTGATGCGGCTGCGGGACTCAGGGGCCACCTGCTCAGGGAGGGCCTCCACCTTCTCAGCTGCAGGGAGAGAGCAAGCATGTGCACATGTGCCACATATCCATGTGTAAACCTGCAGAGGGTGTGCATGGCGTCACCCTACCTGTCTGGCCAACATTCATCATGCTGTACATGGTGTACATGTTGCAGATCTGCCGGTACTGCTCATCCGTACCCTCCTCGCCTGCGTCCTCCTCCTCATCCTCCTCATTGTGGTAGGAGCCAGGGCTGTCACTGGTGTAGGCACTTGAGGTGCCTGGGCTGGTCCGCTCCGATGTGCTAGGCCCACTCATCATGCCCCCTGCTGCCACTGTGGCCGAGACCACCGGGGTCGGCTGGGGCGTCCGGTTGGCGGCCAGGTCTGGTGTAGAGAACTTGGCCATCTTGCGGCTGCCATTGGCCCCGCTGCCACCTCCAGCCTCTTTCTGGCTGCCATCCCACAGCCTCTTGGCCACAGGTGTGCACTGTACGGAGTCCGACTCCTGCTGCTCTGTCTTGACTCGAGACACCAGGGGCAGCGGCGTGCTGCAGACCGGCCAGCCCGACGTCTGCGCCACGGGGCTCTGCGGCTCCGACGATGGGGCCTCCTCGGCATGCAGGCCCTGGGAGTCGCAGCTCGGGGAGCTCACCTTAAGGAAGAATTCAGTGCCCTTCTCCATGATTTCCTGGATCTGCAGGAAGCCAGCTGTGTAGATGAGCAGGAACTGATCACCCATGTTCATGCTCAGCCGGCCTGTGTAGCAGAATGTGAGGATCTGCTGGAAGGACTGTGGCTGCACAGCTGCCGGCAGCTCTACCACCGCGCTCCTGCTGCTATTGAACAGGTCCCGGAAGTAGGAGCTGCTGGCGGCCAGCACAGCCCGGTGGGCTTTGAAGGCATGGCCCTTGACCACCACTGATACATCACAGTACAGGCCTTGCAGCCGCTGCTCATTGAGGCACTCAAGGATGCTGTTGCCAAAGTTTGGGATCTCCATCTGCAGAGTCTGGGCCATGGCAGCGGCTGCACAGGGGACAGGAGACAAAAAGGTAAGGCAGTCAGATCTAGTGCCACCCAGCCCTGCTTCAGGGCCCCTGCTGGCTGGAATTCAGCTGACAGAAGCTCAGACACCCACAATGCAATCTGTCATCACTGATAGGACTGCACAGGGCCACCTGCCCCTCATGTCCCAGAACACTCTTGCCTTTATGACATATGGTCAACCTTCGGTATCTGAGAGGGGCGGCTCCCTGGGAACCCCGGAGGACAGCAAAATCTGCAAGTGTTCAAGTCCCTTACATCCAACTGCAGTTTTTGCACAGAAGCCGTGCACATCATCTACTTTAGACTATCTCTAGATGGTAACAGCTGATTCAGGTGGTGTAAACATTACATACATAGATTGGAACGTTGGGAGAGTAATGACAAAAGTCTGCACATGTTCAGTATAGATACAATTTTTTTAGTGGCACTGGGGACTGAACTGAAGCCAAGGCCTTTTCCCTGAGCTGTAAATCCCACTCTCCCTTCTAAGAGAGTCTCACTAAGTTGCAAAGCTGCCCAGGCTGGGCTCAAACTTGAGCTTTTCTTGCCTCAACTTCCTAGAATGCTGGGATGACAGATGTATCCCACCACACCCAGCTCAGATGGCATTTTTTTCCCCCTAAATGTTTTAATCCTCAGAAATATTTTTTTGAGTCTTTTCAATGTGCAGTTGACTGAATCTGAAGATGTGGAACCCATGAATACTAAAAGCCAACTATACTGTGTCCAATCTGCCATCTACACAGCAGTGGCCAGACACTGTTCCCCCGCAGACAGTGGCATGTGCACACTCACCTGCATGCACCTGAGGGAACCTACCTAAACGTTGGTGGGGCATCCCGGCCCCATGCAGCAGTGCAAGCCACCCCTGCTCTGCATGCACACAGGCACACGACACCTCTTGAAGGCACGGTACACAAGCACCACGAGCCACCACTGCCAACCGAATGACACCCACAAAGTTACACAAAACCACCAGCTCTCACCAGGCAGATACCAATCCAAACCATGGTGAGCCACCACCCCAACTCACACAGCTGCTAGCATGAAGACAGTGGAGGGCCTGGGATGCAGCTTGGGGCACAGAGCCTGCTGAGGAGGTACCAGGCCTGGGTTCCAGCCCCAGTACCCTGCACAGTCGTACATGTGCCTAGCATGTACTTGGGCCTCAGGCAATGCCCCCTACACACATGCTAATATGGAAACCTTCCCTGGGGGCAGATACTGTTGTAGTTTAGGTCTAAAATGTCCCCCAGAAGTCCCCTGTGTTCAGAGGTGGGTCTTTCAGATGGTGACCAGATCACAAGTACACTGACCTATCAGTGGATTCACTAAGGGATGAGTTCAGGACTGAGCGTACAGCTGGGAGGTGGGGCTGGGCTGAAGGGGGTCCTTGCTCCTCCCTTCTCTCTGCTTCCTGGCTGCCAGGAGGTGAGCAGCTGTCCCCTGCCACACCCTCCAATCATGCCAGTTCTGCCTTGGAACCAGCAGGCCATGCACTGAATAAACCCTCTGGAACTGTGAGCCAAAATAAACTTCTTCAAGTCACAGGTATCAGGTATTTTGTCCTGGCGACAAGAAGAGTGTCCAGCAGATACCACACACCAGACGCTTACATGCCTCAGATAAGATGACACTGCACTTCCAGAAAACCTATGGGCATCCTCCCAGATATGTTTTGTAACTTGTAATACTGTGCAAATGCTTTGTACAGGGTCCTTAAGCTACACTGTTTAGCAAATAAGGAAAAGAAAGCAAGCCTGATTGCACCCGCCAAAATGGACACAGCACAGGTGCATGGTGAGGCACTTGGCACACAGGGAGTCCTCAGCAATGCACACCCTGAAGTTCTGGGGGAAGCAGGAAGTAGTGGACATGCAGGCTAGGGTGCAGGAATCCAGGTCCCTTCCTTAGGGCAGCCCCAGCCTCAGAGCCTAGTGCTTTGCAGCCTCTGAGTAGCAATGCAGCATGTAGGAGCAACTGGTCCAAAAAGACTCAGCCAAGAGCACATAGGACCCCTCCCTCCCCTGTGATGCTGGGGAGCAGGGCAGTAGGTCTGCAAGCTGCAGAGACCCCAGTGCCCTTCTGTCCAGCCCCGTGTACCCCCACCCACAGGAAATGCTGATCCAGAGCACCTGGTCCCTGGCCATGTCACTGATAGGGTGAGCAGTGGTGGCAGAGAGATAAGGGGTAAAGGCCTCTCAACCTGCCCAGTCTGTCCCCACCACACTGAGAGCCACCAGCACGGGCTGGCTATCTCCAAACCCAGATCAAAGGTCCTCAGGTCTCTCTCGGGTCAGGCACACTGGGTGGAGTGGTGTTCCCCCTTGCTCTGCCTCCACCTCCCTGCAGGGTGCCTTCACTCACTTCCCACCTTAACCCTCACAACAGAGGCACCACACACTGCCAACTCTCAACAGGCAGAAAATCACACAGAACCATCTCTCCTCATACTCCACACACTCACCCTGGTGGGAGAGGGTAGACCTGGGCAGCCCAGCCCTGGAGGGTGGAGAGGATCCCCCAGCATCACCAGTCCCGGTCCACGTGGGAGCATGGTTTCCATGATCACTCAAGAGCCACCGGACAAATATTTGCCAAGTTCCAGACTGGGGCAGGATGCCTGGGAGCTGGGGGCCTGGTGGAGGCTGTGGCTATTCAGCAGTACTGCACGGACCAGTGCACTCCAAGCCAGGGCACTGACCCTGCTACAAGAGACACTAGAGCTGACCTGGAGGGACTGTGGCAGACTGACAGCATAGCACTTCTACAGAAGGCTGTCACCTGTGGCTGTCATGCCCTGTCTCAGGGCTCTGCTGGGAACTATGTCCCATGTGGAAATCACACAGGCCTGTCTCTAGGAGGAAATTAAGCCCTGAGGGGGTCAGAAGGGTAGAAGACCTAAAGCAACCATCTGTAAGCCAAGAAGACAGCCCTCATGTCAATCCAACCATGCTGGCACCCTGACCTCAAATGCCAGCTCTGCGGGCTGTAAGACAATCAGTCGTGGTGCACGTCTTGTCACCCAGCACTCTGCGATGGAGGGCATTTGCCACAGTGCCAGCTTCGAGTTGGCATCAGGGGGTCAGGGAGTTTACCTTCATGGCTCACCACTGTGACCACACACAGTAGAGGTGTCTATGTAAAGTTCCTGAGTAACTGTTCCCATTACTTCCAATCTTACTCTTTCTTGTTCCTCAATAATGTGTCTAAAACAGCAAGGGATCTGGGAACCACTAACCTGGCCAAACACCAGGTGAGTTGCCCCAGGGGATGGCCTGCAGCCAGGGGCCCAGCTCAGGCTCCATGCCCTGAGTGGATGGTGCCTCCCATGTCGAGTCACATGCCCCGCAGGACTATTCCTGGGAATGGAAAATGCCTGCTGTTTGGGAAAAGCACTCAGGAATTCCCCAGCCAGCACAGGCGGGGTCAACAGATCACAGCCTCATGGGGGACTGTCAAAGGCACAGAAAATAGCTGGGCATGGTGACACATGCCTGTAATCCCTGCTCTCAGGAGACTGAGGCAGGAGGATTGCCACAATTTCAAGGCCAGACTGAGCGAGACCCTGTCTCAAAAAAAAGACGCCCTGGCTAACTGTCCAAAGAAGCTGTACGGCACTGATGTGCTTGCTATGGCTTTAATGTTTGCATCCCTCCAAAATTCGAGGGGCTGGGGGAGTGTAGTTCAATGGCAGAATATATGATTAACAGGAGCAAGGCTTTGTGTTCCATTCTGAACATCAAAAGAAAAAAATAAAGGGCTAGGGATGTAGCCCAGGGGTACAGTGCTTGCCCAGCTTATGTGAGGCCCTGAGTTCTATCCTTACACAGCAATATATTAAACACATTTTCCTTTTCTTTTTTCTGGGGGAGGGGAATCAAACCCCAGGCCTAGCAGATGCCAGCAAGTGCTCCAGCACTCAGCTACAAGCCTCGCCCAATACAATTCTTATGGTGAAACCAATGTCCAATGCAATAGTACTGGGGAGGGGATGAGTCCCTAATAGCTCCACCCTCAGCAGTGAGCTCCATGCCCTGATAACAGGCCAGAGGGAGCTTGCCCACCTGTAGCCCTGTGAGGATGTGTCACTGCTGAGGACCAAGTCCCCTCACCACACTCTCAACCCACTGGTGTCTTGATCTTAGACTTCTAAGTCTCAAGTGCTGTGAGCAACACATTTCTGTGGGGAGTGGAGGCGCAGCTTCACAGTAAAGTACTGGTCTAACACACAGAGTCCCTGGGTTCTATGCTCAGCACACCAGAAAGAAAGAAAAAAGTTAAAAAAAAAACCAACCACCTTTTGCCTGCACGGTGGCATATGCCTATAATCCCAGCACTCAGGGAGGCTAAGGCAGGAGGTCTTCAAGTTTGAGTCCTACCCAGATAACTTGGTGTTGTCTCAACCCCCCCCCCAAAAAAAGAGCGAGTTGGGGGACATAGCTCAGTGCTACAGCACTCTTGGGTTTGATTCCCAGCTCTGCAACACATATGCACACTCAAAAACAAACAAAACAACCCTACAACTTTCTGTTCAAAAATTAGCAGGTGGTATGAGGCATTTTGTTACTGTACCCCAAATGGACTGAGACAAAATGTAGATTAAGGGAAACATCAACTCCAAATTTAACCAGGAGGAAAGCTCAGGAAGGTCCTTCATCCTTTATCCAGGTGATGGGGACCCACAGAGCCTGTGTGGGGCGCAGGTGCAGGAGGCAGCACAGGCGAGCACGGCACAGCACTGGGGAAGAGTGCTGCCTGGCTGTGGGAGTTGCTGCCTGGAAGGTGACTTTTTTTTTTTTGTACCGGGGATCGAACTCAGGACCTTTCACTTTCCAGGCAGGTGGCGGCACCACTGAGCTAAATCCCCAGCCCCAGAAGATGCCTTTTTAAGTATGTGTATATCTGATTCAACTTTTTTCCCTGAAAGGCTGTCATCAGATCAACAGCCCTGATAGGATTAGTGACAGCAGCACCCA